GTGTGTGTGTGTGTGTGTGTGTGTGTGTGTGTGTGTGTGTGTGAGATCAGCCTTTATAGAGACCGCTGATGAAACTATTTAGAATGAACATCAGCTAACGATCTGTGGCTGATCTGTAGGAGCACCCATTGCCTGATTAAAGGTGGACAATAAACGTAAGGAAAGAAAAGGCCAAACATATAATCCAAAAGATATTGGATCAATATAGAACTTAAAAATGAAGCGCCAAAGCTTATTGAGTCAGTGGAGTGCCGCAGTAAAAGGAAAACGCCTCTTGTATTTGACATAGTTTTGTGTTTTTTCTTCGATATTTATCGCTTAGTTGCCAGTTAACGGGTGTCGGGCAATCGAAAGCAAATGTAACAGAAACTGAAATCCCTGGTTTCAAGAGTTTGGCCTCGCTCAAACGTAGGGAGAATAGCTGGCCGTCATAAAGAGGACGGCGCATGCTAACCGTTTAAATATGGAGATAACTGTCTCTCCTGAAAGACATTAATTGTGCTGCTTTGCACTTGTTTGTACACATCAAAAGTGACAGAAATAGGCCGCGGTTACACTTGTCGTTTCAATTCGACTTTTGTGATCTGATGCGCCAGATCGGAACTCGGCTCTGTCTGTGTGTCCACACGTATGCAGACATGGTGGACACCGTGGTGTGGTGTGAAGGTTTTTCAGGAAGCCGTTTGACCATCTCAAGAGCTGATGTAGAATACCATCAGCTGGGATTTGATATGCACAGGCCTTGGCTTCCCTCTGCTGGCAGCCTGAACGATGTGCATCAGTGTTGGTATTTTATTACTGAAATGTGAAGATGTAGAGAAAGGGCTGTTGGGTGTTGTTTATTGGAAATTAAAAATGTGACAATAACTGGTGTTACGCCTGAAATCTACAAATGTCACTGATGTAAATTTGATTACTCTGAGCTTTCTCAGTTGTCTTCTCAGTATGTTGTCTAACATGTGACTCTGTCACCTCCTCTAGTGCCAGGACGTCATCCAGAGCTCTCTGACAGTAGCCAGGACTCTGGCTGATGATGTGGACTCTCACATTTTCCCCTTCAATGACTTTGGCAAGGGTCTGATAAAGAAGTGCCGCACCAGTCCTGATGCCTTCATCCAGATCGCCCTGCAGCTGGCCCATTACAGGGCAAGTACATGTCACTGGTTTCTAAGTAATAACCATTGTACGCATCTATTTCATTGTCATTTAGCGGCCTTTACGTGTTATGCTTACAAATATAACAGCTGACACACTCTAGTGACATTCCTCTGAATTTCCAGCAGAGAGCAGTCTCAACATGCCGATCAACTCGTTACTGAAGATTGTCAAACTTTGGCAATGAAGGAGTTAATCAGCTTCAGTTTGAGGCTGAATTTTTCTGTTAGTTTTGAGGTTTATTTGACAAAACAAAAGCACATATGAATGGAGCAATAATGTAACGTCAAGTTTTGTTGCTAATTGGCATTTAGCTCCAGATAATTGCCTTGGATAGCAACCGTGGTAATTGCAGTTTCGGTATGGCATTACCTGGTGTATCTGTTATTTATTCACCGTTTGTAAATCGTCTTCTTGTGGTTTGTCTATTTGATGCTGATCCATACTATCTCTCAACAGGACAAGAAGAAGTTCTGCCTGACATACGAAGCCTCCATGACGCGTTTGTTCCGTGAGGGCCGGACAGAAACTGTGCGCTCCTGCACCCTAGAGACTTGTGCCTTTGTCCGTGCCATGGTCGCAGAGGAGACGGTAAGGCTAAACGGCAGCGACACACCACGACCCTGACTAGAGTCACTGACCGTTAATCCAGTATGCAGATATGCATGCTCTGTGATAGTTTAACTTCTTTCCCGCTCATTTCAGAGAGAAGAGTCTCTCCGGTTGCTCAAAGTGGCCGCAGAGAAGCACCAAAACATGTACCGCCTGGCAATGACAGGAGAGGGCATCGATCGCCACCTTTTCTGCCTCTATGTGGTTTCCAAGTACCTCGGAGAAGACTCGCCCTTCCTCAAGGAGGTACGAGGTGTTGTTGACAATGTTGCACTTAAAAGACTGTTTCCAAGATCTGGGTCTTATGCTGCCTTCCAATGGAACTTGTGAGCTTTTGGTTACAACATGGGAAGTCGAGTACACGATACGTTTGGCGTTCAAGTGGAACGTCGTGAAACCACAGCTGCTACATTTTCCACAGACATATTATATAATTACAAAGAAAAACTTTGGACCACTGAAATACAATATATTAACTAACCATCCACCAACAAATGTACTTCCATGGCCTCTTCCATTCCTGCAAACGTCAGCCAACATGTCACGACTGGTTAACTCCGAGCTTTCAGACAGTTTCCTCTCATGCGGTTGTGAATATCACCAGAGAGGGTTTGTTTATAAACACGCCCAGGTCTAAGCTTTTTAAAAACAAATCACGCTGTTTGGACTAAATTAAGCCTACTTGAATTTACTAAAGTAATACCATTGATGTAACGGTGCGGTAGGCGGTTGAAATGCATCTTGTCCAGGACTCGTAAGTGAAAAAATAAGTAATGCAGAGAAAACCACGAGGATTAACTATTCGGGATTAAGCGTTGCTTCTAATTAAACCGCCTCATTAAGTTTACAGGCACATGCATTCATTGCAATGTAGGCTTCTACTTGCTTTTCTCTGTAAGTGTAAATAAGTAAATTGTGCTTTGTATACTTTCTGAATTATAACCCGTTAACAAATGTCATATAATTTAACTACACCAAAAGAATGAAACGGCGCTTTTCTTCCCCTTCCACTTAGATGTGAAATATATATTATTATATATTAATATATAGAGTATATTTAAATCCAGCTCATCTCTGTGTTATATAACGGCTTCATCTGCTCATTCCTTAATAACTGTCCACTGAGTATTAAATAAAGACAAACCGCTTCTCCATCAGGCGGTTGATTGGGCTGAGATCTGGTGGATTAAATGTCGCCTTCTTGTTTAGGTCCTCTCTGAGCCGTGGAGGCTGTCCACCAGTCAGACGCCCCTGCAGCAGGTCGAGCTGTTCGATCTGGTCAGACACCCCGAGTACGTGTCCTCCGGAGGTGGATTTGGTCCAGTAAGTTATCCATCAGTTTTGACGTTTTTTAAAAAAAAATTTTTAAAAGGGTTGTGGAGTCTTTCTGCAGTTGGAAAACGAATGTAAAATGTAACATGTGTCCGTTATGGATGGATGCATTTTAGTTTCGTCTTCACTAAGGAATCGGTGCTCACACACCTGTTCTTTGTTCATGTTTATTTCGGGTCTGTATGTATGAACATTCCAGCCTATTGAAAATATAGTTTGAAAACATTGAGACTGTTGTTGAGATAAGACTCGCATGTCTTTACTCGTGTGTCCTAAAGGTGGCTGATGATGGTTATGGTGTCTCCTACATCATCGTTGGTGAGAACCTCATCAACTTCCACATCTCCAGCAAACACTCAAGCCCAGAAACTGTAAGTTCCGTCCCATAGACAGCTTATTTGTTCGATGTCTGTTACTGAAAGAGACTTCTTCAAAGTGTCTTTCCACTTTTGTTTGCTTTATTTCAGGACTCTCACCGTTTCGGCGCCAACATCCGACAGGCCATGCTTGACATACTGGATCTCTTCCAGCTCGAGAAGAAAACTAAGTGATGAGCCCTCTCCATGGGTTGCATTAACATAATAAGTTGTTTTTAGCAAGAAATCTATTCTTTCTGAGGTTTGTACAGAATCAAATATTGGATTTTGGGTTAATTGATGTTACAGAAATAAGAATGATTGAGAGTTTTTGTCAATGTGTTTTTGAGCGGTTATGCGTTCTGTATTTATAGGCAAGGTGAGATACTGGTGTTATTGGATACAGGTAGTGCACAGATCAACATTTGTACTGACAGGACTGTTCTTCTGGGTGCCTTAGTGACCCACGGGCAGAGAGGGAGGGGGACATTAGAGCTCTCGTCTGTATTACCACACTAAAGGATTGTTCATTGTCATCATCCATTATTGCACTCTCGTTTTGAAGTTGAGAGATGGTGCAATATGTTCACTAGTGTTGTCCTGGTTTTAAAAATCCTATGAAATTTTGTTTTTGGTTTCTCCTTTTCAATTGCATCACCTGAGTCACGTGTAAATGGCCAAAGCAGTAAATGTGATATTAAATATCATCAACAAATAATTGCATGTTGCATGGTGTCGATTAATTTCATACGGCTCGGTTTAAATGGAGTCTGATTTGCTAGCCTGAACAATTGTATCCAGTAATGTTCTACAGTAAAACAATTGATCTGTACTAACGATGAGTACAGGTATTCAGCTCTGGTCTGGAGCGTGACCCTGTAACGGTGAGATCCCGGGTACCAACACAGAAGACAGGGAGATAATCAATGGATCCACAAGCTGCTGTCATCGTATGGTGGAGCGTAGAGGCACATCATGGTTGTGTTTGTCATGTTCATTACTCAGGTTTCTTTTTTTAAACTTGGCCTAGTATTCTAGAGTGCTGGCTCCAGCATTGGAAGATTAGTGCTTATGTTGCAGAGTACATGTGCAACAGTAGAAGATAATTGAAATGCAGTACAATGCCGTGTGACCCCGATGAGCTGGTGGGTAGTACAACGTAAAGTCTGCTGTGGAAGTGCGAGGATCGGCAGGGCGGGGTGTGTTTCTGGGCTGATTGATGACAAAGTGCGTGGTCAGTGGTGACTTTTTATTTTCTTGTGTTTTAAAAAAAGTTGTGCACTCCATGACTGGTCCTTTAGTTCAAACTAACCAATTCCCAACTACCTTGGTAGCCTTTAGTCAGATCAACATGAATTTGTATGAGCAAATACGTTGTCCGTTACAACATAGCGGTATTTCAACTGTCAAAATGAGTTGCAGAGTCTCTTACTAGGCTGTGATGTCTCCAGTAAAGTACGAAATCTTTTATTTTTTCCTCAGAGTGATACTTAAGAAGTGCAGATATAGAGGGGCTGTCACGTAGGGATGCATTTCTGTTCTTATGTATATGTTGTCGGTTCATATCTATTTATTTTCCATGTTTAAACTTCTTTTATTCAAAAAAAAAACATGCATATTTACCAGCTGAATGTGGCGAATGATGTGCACTAAGTTAAAGCTTTGCTGATTTAAGAAGTAAAACACAAAATACTTTCTTTTTTTTCTTTTTTGACGTGACAGTTTTGTTCTCACAGACTTTGCAAGTACGGTGAAGTTGTATGACTTTTTATCTCGGTAGACCTCATGTTGACACTGCTGCATGTTTTTTTTTGAAGACGAAGCTGTATATGTTTGCCTTTTCATTCAAAGATGGTGTAAAAAGACAGCTGATATACCAAAACGAGTTTTAACAATAAAGTGAATGTCAGACAGCTGTATGACCGCTGAGTATGTTCTCTCTTTCTTACAATCTGTTCTTCTATAATCATCAATTCATAACGTGTGGAAGAAATGCACTGCATCACCTCCACTAATGACGCGTGTGATGTGCGAACAACACAATCAAATTTTGGATTAAATTTATCCAGTTTTGATAATTGGTTAGTCGCTTCTCAAGCAAAAAAAGCCCTAACCTGATAATGGCACGATCGGAAATGTTAAGGGATCACAAAGATTAGTACAGTTCATCCTGAGGGGGACATGAATGTGTGTACCAAATTGTACGGCAATCCATCCTAATGTCAAGTACATGGTGGCACCAGAGGAAAATTCAGGACCACCAAAGTCATTAGGAACGGTCCTCTGGGGACCATGAATGTCTGAACATACTAGCATAGCTAATAATATGTTGCCGCACTAACTTTGAGACATTTGGCTGGTTTTCAGCTTGGCAGTATATGACCCATGTTCTTCAGCTGTTGGCTTATTAAATCTAACCACACCCCTCCCTGAGAACCAATGAGGCTGTAGGTGAGCTGAAATGGCCTGTTAAGTAGGGCTGGGCAAAATATGGGTATCATATTTATATTGTGACATGAGACTGGATATTGTCTTAGATTTTTGATATCTTAAGTAAGTGTTCTTGGTTTTAAAGGCTGCATTACTGTCAAGTGATGTCTTTTTCTAAACTTACCAGACTAGTCGTTATACCCACATTACAGATTTTTCAAAAATCTCATTATTGTCCATGTTTTGTAAAAGCACCAATGATCAACACTTACAATGTCATTGCAATATCAATATCAAGGTATTTGATCAAATACATCGTGATATTTGATTTTCTCTGTATCGCCCTGCTGTCAAGCACACATTGCAAAATTATAATGTTTTAGCTCTTGTTTATTTCAAGGCTCAGCTCTCATCTGTATCAGAGGGTTGACTTGTGGTCATGCCTGTGTTAATCAGTTTTACAATTAAAGTAATTGTCAGAGCGTAAAGTAAAGCTCCTAAAAACCGTTCTGGTGTGAGAATGAGCTCTTTCCTTCCTTAGCTCAGTGTTTACTTAAGCAAAGGGAAGCTGTGGCATGCCATCTGGCCAGGTGGTTGGGCTCAAGTGGACGGCACCCAGGAGCCAGTTCCGTCTCTGGGTGTATTAATAAGTCCCTGCACAGTGACAGTTTCCCTCTAGCTCTCAAACACACACACACACACATACACACACACACACACACACACACACACCTCTACAATAGTACACCCGCCCTGATGTCACCCTGAATTCGGCTTCCGATAGCAGGCTAACATTTCGAGAGTGCATTCCTGAGGTCTGCTTACTCCTCGTCAACTCCGGGAACGTGCAGTTCGGCTTCTCGAGGAAAAGCTTCACTTTCAAAGCTAGAACTTTGTTTTTCTTGTTTTGAAGTGTGTCCTGGCTTTCTGTGCATGAAGAGATGTTTGATTAGTATTTACACAAAGGAGAAAGGAAGTTTCTTCTCTATTTAGAACACAAGACTGTGACAGGTCCATACAGCATAATCAACAGACTTCAAGCGGCTGGCTTCTGGACCACAAGCCTTTAGATTGTTCACCTAATTGGCAAGCTGGAAAACCCATTCACTAAAGAGCGGACACTGAAACCTAAAACCTTGACTTGCACTTTCTAAAAGTAGACTTTGGGAGAGATCTACGGCCTCTGCTTGTCACCAGTTTAATTCATGTACCACTTGCTCCACAACACTCTCAAAGAAAAGAGGGGAGCCAATGTTGCCCCTCCTGTTTTATAAGCTAATCATTCACGCAGGAGCGGGGATGTTCCTATGTTGTGTGGTGGTTGTCGCTGGTAGCTGAATTACATTGTTCTCATTGCAGCTACTGCCTGTAGATAATCTGTCATTCTTGATTTGGGTTTTGGCAGGACAATTTGTTTTTCCTACACTGCTGGACAAGGCTTTATTATGCCCCAAACGAATTGGGTTGAATGTTACATGTTGAATCAGTGAACAAGGGAAAACAATGATTGTGTCCTGTTGCTAAATGTTAGTTTAAGGGTGGATGTCTTGGACCGCAAGATTTCTGGAAAGAATTGTGTTATTGTGCCTCGAATTTTGCGTTAAAGCGGACCGCACAAAGGGCTGTTGAGGATAAAGGATCAACACCAATCATATGACAAAGTCATTCATTGCACACGGATTAAATGGACATTATTTTGGAGTCTGAATATACAATAACATTAAATCATGTAGTGGTGAAGGTCACATAAGGCTCTCTGACCTCTGCTGTTCTCTGAAGCAGAGTTCCTCCAGGACTCTTAACACTGTAACTTCATCACCTCACAAACCATGGAGCCACACTGGGCTTGTGAATTTTATCTGGCTGAGAACTGCGCCCGGATTTAAAAAAAAGTGCCACATGAATCGAAGTGATTAAGGCGAGGTTGTAAATGGAGATGGGTGAGCTCGGTGACTGGAGTGGAGGCCTGCCACCGAGGGTGGCCTGCTGCACCTGTCTAACTGCCCTAAAGGAGCAGGGCCTGGGGCCCCCAAGGTGGAGCCCAGCCAAAGGGGGGGCAGCAGGAGAGAAAGGTAAGGAAGAAAAGCTTAGCGGAGGTTGAGCTGAATGTGATTCCCCTGAAGATCCTTCCCCCTGTGTGCTCACCGAATCTAAAAATAACCTTTATTAGGTTTAAGTGGAATTAGTGGAGATGTTAGTCGTCAGCATGTTCACGGATACATAGACTTTCTGACACGGAAGAGTGACACGGAAGAGTGAGGGGTGTTAATAATAAGAGCCTTGCAGACACACACACACACACGCACTCACACAGGAGCGTGCACATGTGCAAGCTGGCACGGACATGGATGCAAGAAACACCACAAATGAAAAAGACGATCCTCATGTATTCACTTCCCATATTTCTTTTTAGGGTCATTTGTGCGTGTTGGAGTCTATTCCACAATCCATAGCATAGACAGTCAAACACACACAGAGGCATATTTGGGCCTGGGTAAAGAGTAGATAAGAGCTTAAACCTTAAGGCTGATTTCTCCACTTGAAAACTGGTCTCCCTGCTTACCTGTCCACCCTGCTGCCCCGTTGTGTTCACTGCTGTAAAATGTCTTGAAATAAGCATGAACTGAATTACTCCAAGTGAAGTAAGAAAATGTAAACTTTATTGCAACTTTGTCATTCTAAGTTCTCTGATTTACAGAAGAGAAAAAAAAACACTTGTAATGGCACAGTCATCGTAATATGTACATTACTGCAATAATCCAGACACGCGTGTTGTCCAGATTTAAGAGTGGCATATTAAGGCGCATGAATCGCTCAGTCTGTAGAGGGAAGGAATTAACACGTCAAAGCTTTTCCTGCAACTTATACGTGAACATACCACAGCATGACTTAAAAGCATTCGAACGGGAACTAGAAAAGCTCCTCGCACGAAGGGCTTGGTTGGGAAATCACAGTTTGTCTATTGTACATTCAGCTCTGGGAGAGATTAAGACGTAGATGTGTTCACAACATACTGCGTTGCACTAAGACATTTGGTGATTTGATAAGCTTCAGTAGACCTGAGTGTTCAAGTTGATACAGTAAACGTGTTAGAATTACACAATTAATTTAGTGGTAAAGCATTCACGAAGGCTCCAGAGTCTGTATCATCACTGCTGGCCGGTTAAGATTGTCTGGTGAAAAGCAAATCAATAAAGAAAAGCCAACTAGCTAATTAACTCAATGCATCATGGTGGTAAGTTGGTTACATTTCTCCATGGGCTAGTTTTGAATATAGTCGTTATCTCATTCATATATAATTTGATTAAAGCATTAATCATCGTTGAAACCAAATAAAAAAAAAATATCTTCCATAAGTAATCCTATTGAATTTAGGCAAGCGATGGACGTGAATGTGATTACAATTACTCATCAATGTTCATGTGCCCAATACATCTCTGTGGCCTTTTATTCAATTATCAAGTATTCCTTTCTGGTGAATTCAAGATGGCTACAATAAGATGTCTTACATAGAAGAGCATCTTATTTATGTATTTAGTCTGAAGAGCTCTTTCCCCATGTCGTCCTATTAGAGGAGTAGTTCGTCATTTTGGGAAATGCATTTATTCGCTTTCTTGCTGAGTCTCAGATGAGAAGATTGCTACCACTCTTGTATCTGTATGGTAAACAGAAAGTCTGCAGCCAGGAGACGGTTAACTTAGTATAAAAAACGGAGAAGTCACTGCCTCGGCCCAAGAAATAGTCCATCACTTAACCCCTCGTAAAGTCACAACTCTTTGTTATTTTGTACGAATTAAATAACCGAAATATAAGCTGTTTAGTTATTGAGTATGATTTTGTTAGCTTTGGACCAGACTAGCTGTTTCCCCATGTGTCCAGTCTGTACACCGCTGATAAGCCAAGCGGCTCCCTGCGCTGTCTTAATATTTACCATACACATGTGACAGCAGTATCAGTCTTCTCACCTATCTCCCTGCAAGAAAGCGAGCGAGTGCATTTCAAACTGTCTGTTAAAAGTCTCATTTCGAGCTGTGGCGTCGTCAACAAGGCTTTCTTCTTTTCTTCTTCAACTTCATTTTGGCACTGACTTATGAAAGAGCATACCAACACAACATCCGACAGACTTGGTAATAAAAAAAAGTGCGGCCCATTTAAAAGCCATTACTACAGCAGGTTAGTAAAATGGTGGCATCTAATCTAAATTCAAATATAGCCAGAGTTACAATTACAGTGGCTTGGCCTCAAGTTCATCTGGCCTACAGTACTAAAGGACATTCAGAACTGTCCAACAGATATGATAAATTAAGTTGAACTCCTCTAAGAATAAGTGCTAAGGGTAAGTTTGTTGTGTCTGATGACAGTAGTGAAAATCCATAATATGAGGTACATTCAAAAAACATCAGCCCGTTGGCCTGATAGGTTCAAGTACAAGTACTCTCTGACGAGTGAGCAACACATAGGGTACCACGGTGCGTCACTTTCGGTACGAAGCTTTCTGTGAGCTAATTTCCTCCCAACAAGCCTTTGTCCTTTGTCCTTTGTCCTTCTATATCTTCATTTGGTCTTCTTGAGAGATTATTTTTAAGCAACAAGGGGCTTGCTTTGTTCCTCCTTATCAAGAGAGCCAGCAGCGATTCAAAATTTAAAGACTGTAGAAATGCAGTACGTAAACGCAGAGATTTCTCCGGAACTTACATACAAAAAAAAGCAGAACAGATCAAAAAAAAAGTCCGGAAACAAATCAGCAAAGAGGTAAAACCGATCATTTTTTTAAAAAGGAAGAAAAGAAAAAAATCATTTTGAACTGTAAAGTGCAAGTATAAAAAAACAAAAATCTTTCTACATATCATCTCAAGCCTTGAGACAGGGTCAATGGTCTTTAGTGGAAAAGTGCAAGTTGAGAACAGCACGAGAAAAAAAGAATCTGATTCAAAACAGTAACGGGATAATTCGGGTGACTCATGGATCATGAGTCATGTGACTCAGCTTCTCCGTAAGAAAACAGCCACCTCCTCCAAGGGCACAGGGTAGTCCTGTAGGAACGTCCCCCCATCGAACACCTGAGCATTCTTGCTGTCCTGCCACTGGAAGCCCCCGTCAGGTAAATATATATCCCTCTGCACTGCCCCCTTCTCCACCACCGGTGCCACCAGGACCTGGAAACACACATCGGCTTGGTTAAAAACAAATTCGGATGCCAAGTATATATTGCAACTTGATTCCTTCCCATTGAGAACATCATTAAGTCACCTCGTCTCCGATGAGGAACTGGTCATCAATGGTGAAAGTCATGGGGTCACTGGGACTGAGCCACCACATTGGCCGGTAGATGGGGTTGCTCGTCATCAGCCACTCCTCTGCATACTTTTCTATCAGTGGGATCACATCGCTCTGGTGCTTTGCTATGTAGGCCCGTGTCAGGTTTAGCACCTATGGGTCACCAATGGAGAGATGAGCAATAATGTAATGAGGATTAAAAGTATTTTTGTATAATCATGCATTTTCATAATTAGGAGTGTTTCCGTGTCCAAAGTATGCTCAGGAAGAAATCTATTCAGAGTCATTGTCTGCCCTGTTCGGGAGCCTTTTTTTTCCACTCAGAACCACTTCTAGAGCAACAAGCTGAAACAAAAACAAACCTCTTTCCCGAACTAAATCATCTGCCTCGAGGATTCACGACAAGAATAATATTGACAATGCACTCTGCTAAAGCCATTTGTGCCATCTCTACACCCAGACGTGCAAACAGAACTTAAAAGCATCTCACTGTTGACTTAGTGGTTTAACACTGTCCAAGTCTTTCCCCTGTCACGCTCCGTCCAAACCACTTCAGCATTCCTGCAAAGGTCACATCCTCTCCGGTGTCCCATGACAAAAACAAAAACTTGACCGCATCTATAAAAAATGTCTTTTTATGAGTTGGGATTGAGAACATTTGTAGGAATGAGCCTGAAGTCACAGCTCGGGTTTGTGTGGACCTCTCTCTAATTGAGAAGTCATGTGTTGCATGTGTGTGGGTTTGAGGTTTCATTGCTATTTGACTCCAATGCGGTCGCTGCTGTGACCTGTCTATGACTTAAGTATCACACATTCTGGAAATAAAGGTGCGCCAAATTTAAAGTACACCCATTAAAAAATAAATAAAAAAAAGACTCATTCATCATTTTTAATGCAGCGGTCTAGTTTCCTCTAAAATTTCTTCTCAGTCTCACTTAAGCCGAGTTTATAAATTGAAGGCCACGCAAGAGACCAAAATGGAAAACATTGCTGCTGTCAAATGTCTTGCTGTCCAAAAGGCCTATTTTCTATCTTTGTCACGCAACACAAGTCACAACCAATATATTTTTCTGCCTCCGTCCTCTCCTTGTGGAAAAAAAAAGCAGTCGATCATTCCCACTCCGTCACACTTGTCAATTACTCATGGAAATCTTAATTGCCACAATAAAGTATTTTTCCAAGACTTGTCCTCAAATTCATTATCATTCCGGCTCTTGAGAGTGAGAGTGAGCCATAAATCTTGAGGAGAGAGTGTAATTCAGAACAGATGGACTCTTAACCACAGGTGAAGTCGGGAGGGAGCCAGGCAGTCGCCCCTATTGAGGAAAGAAGGGAAGGGCGAGGGGAGCGGGAAAAATAGCCCCAAATCTTCTTGATGTTCAGGAACCTGAGCCATGAAAAGTCAGCCGTATCTGTCACCGGACTCTCTGAGATGGTAGGCTGTGTTTTCTCGCCGTGCACGGTGAACCGTGCATTCCTGATTTCCAGCAGAGAGGGACAGGGTTTAGTCCTATCGCTCCTGCTGCCAGGTCTGAGTTTTGATAGACCAGGTCTCAGCGGCCCTCATGCTCCTCTGCAAACACACCGGTGGGAACTTCTCCGCACTGACCCTCAAAACTGAGGAGAGGCTGCTGGGTCAATAAACTCTCCTCTTTTCATAAGCAATCTTAACCACTGTGCAAACAAGGAGGGATAATCCAGCATTCACACATCACTTCACTTGATCTCTCCACTGCAAATCTTCACAAGTGAAAATCTTGTTATCCAGTCTGCAAAAGAATGTGCGCCTACTTCGTTGCTGCTATTGTAATCATATCTAATGGGGATGAGGGCTGATGTAATAACAGCGCCTCAGCCTAAGGCTGCAGGGTGGGCCAAAGTGTTTTCAAGAGGAAAGAGTTGCCGGGTTGGAGCGGCTACATGAGGGGCACTAACTGCTGTGTAATGTGGTTTTGGTTGTGGTTTTTCAAAATAGAATTCTAGTTGTATACCCGGTCCTCTCCGCAGACCCAGGGTGGCGTGTGGAAGCTGATAACAGGGAGGAAAGCCATGATCTCCAGCCAACGAATGAACAACTCCTCATCTGTGACCAGGTCTCCAGACAGAGAGCCACCTGAGGGCGGAGAGAGAGATGGACAGAAGCAGATAAAATTAGGATATGTTAGTTTAAACAATTGATCCTTTATTCCTTTTCTTGCTTTTGGAATTGGCAGTTTCAAAATATCTTGCGAGAAGCAGAAAGTCCACATTTAGTTTAGTACAGCACAAAGAGAAGCTTGGGAAAAGACTAACTGAAACCTGCAAAGACAAACCACATGTAAAGATTGCTTCCACCAACTTGAACCGTTCTTTTAGTCTTTGCACTGAGAAAAGATCTAAAACCTTACGGCTGAGTTATTACACGAGACAACACACTGAGTGACCGGTATCTGAGTGTGAGTATCTCCAATCACAGCTTGAGAACGACCTTTTTAAAGGTGTATCATATTTTCTTACAAGCCAATCAGAGAACACTTGGCTTTTTTTTGGGGGGGGGAATCAGATGCGTTCTTTGTCTTGTTTTTTTGTGTGAAATAGTGAAGAATTATTTAGTTTTCATGAAACATTAAGTACGGTAACGTACTGTTAGAGGTGAGAAAAGTGACCCATAGGCTGTGGTATTACCTACTGCATCAGGAATGAGGAAGTTGTATCCCAGCAGAGTGTGGTGCAGCAGGGAGGGAATGATGCCCTTCAGGCCCATTGGGCTCCAGTCGGACTGCATGGGGGTCATCCTCACAAACAGAGGCTTGTGGTTCGACCTGAGACACAAACCGCACCACAATTATAAGACGCAATTTAAAACATTTAAATAATCCCTCTCTATAAACAGTGGCAGTTGATATTAGATTAAAAAAATAGCCGTCGATGGAGCGTACAAACAAGATGAAATGGTTGAGGTCGTTACCGTGTCCCTGCTGTCACCATGGTGGAGTCTCCTATCCTTGTGGCCAGGTCGGCCAGCAGGCTGATGTACTTGTCTCCCCCGAGAGTCTGCGGCGGCTGCAGGACTTGCTCCTCAAACAGATTCCCTTCGCCCCCCTCCAGCATCACATACTCCATCCCCAAATGGGCCTGCAGGGCTCCCACCCTGTCCAGGAACCAGCTCACCGCTCCTGGGTTGGTGATGTTCAGCTTTACACAGAACTTTCCTCGCCACTGACTCATCACCGGGATCTCAAGGACAGAAGTAGAGTTCATTTTATACAACTATGGTTTTCTATTATTATTTCTATTTATCCTCCGCTGTTGCAATGATAGATTTTTACGGATTAGGCCATGCTCACACTGCTCTGCTTTTTATCAAACTGCAACTAGTGAATGGAGACCGGCTGCAAGGCAGATGGAAAGTGTTTACTTTTGGAAAAAAGTTTTTTTTAAGTGTAGGGAAGTTCAATTTTTTAGACGTGGAATATGTTTTCTGTGAATGGACCAATCACAATGCAGAGGAAGTGGACTTTACTGTGTTGGAAGCCAACTCTTTACCACAAGGATACCCTGGGTAAAAGTTAACATGTAGAGGACTTTGCACACTGCTAATTGAGCTCCACTCAGGTCTCACCAGCTGTCCCTGAGGGGCTGAGGGGAGACTGAGCCAGTGGGCCTCAGTGCCGTCCATGAGGGAGGTGTGGAACTGCGTGGTGTCCACGCCCAGGAAAGGGGACAGGGTGATGGAAATGTTGAGAAGCTTGACAAGTGGGAGGTCCCTGGTCAGTCTCTTGGACATCCCCCTTTTCCTGCTGTTGAGGTAGTCATGGTCCTGCAGAGAGACAGAGAGATACACTGTGATATCTGCATTAACAATCATGAAATGTCAAAACTTTGCATTAGTGAGGCAGCCGAATACACTCAAAAGTAATTTTCTCAATAATTGCTTGTATTGTATCTAAATTATCATACAATATAATGCACTAATGGAATAATTCATTATGTTTATGAGCTGGAATGACAAATATCTTTATATTAAGAATGCTTGCTTTAAATTTGACCCATTGATCTCCCCTTTGAACTATATGACCTCTGTCAGAACGTATATTTTAATCCTTTGGAATTGACATGGTCAAGTCAAACAGAGATTTCAGGTTACATAACTATGGAACAAAACCTTTTAAGAACACAAAGACTGACCCCAAGAGATCAACCAGCTGTGTGAAGAAAGGGTAGATTAACACATTTTATGTAACTTCTTGGAAAGTTTTTCTTTCTGATGTTTAATTTTTGTTCTGCTTCTTTCCTGAATTTGAATCCTACATAATTGTCAAACATAGAAATGAACACAAAGAAGACCAAAACATAAGTTAGCATCTGCTCTTTTTTTTAAAACTGGGGTTGCAAACAGCTGCATTATTTAGTGTCTGGGTAATAAATTTAGAAACGTGGCAAACTTATTAATAACCCAAATTTTCACACTTCTGTGGAGCCTCAAACTTCACGGACAACTACAAGTTCCATAAGTTTCCATGCAGTTCATTTGGCTGATTCTATATGACTTTTATGGGGGGGGGGAACTTGGTGACAACAAAACTGGCATAATATCTTTGATGTACCAGAAAATGTGAGATTGTGGGTGAGGGAAGATCAAATGACATCCATCAACTGACATGTGTTATTCCTCCCATTTCCACCCCCTCTTTTTAATCCTTTCACACCTTCTGATCTGGTAATGGGAACGTACTGTACGCATAATAAACTCAGTCTCTCTGATGGACAGATTGTGTGAAAGTCCCCCCACCTCCTCGTCTGTTGCTGCAGCATCAAGCCAGTGTCAGGATCACCTACTCAAGTTAGTCTTGGCTGACATCCCGTCTAATCTCAACACACCCAATTCTTTCCCATCCCTGCGGTTACCACACTCAGAGCAACCTGAGATCAGTCGGGAGAGTCTCTGTTTGTCCTCTCTCTGCTATATGTTGTTTGTAATGGGATATCACCGGGTATTTACTTAGATCCACTTGACAGTGGTCCTGGTGGTCTTGTTTCCCAGCAATTCCCGACAACTTTCAAGGACTTGGAGAACTGGGTAAATGTGAACCAGTGATAAACACCACCTACACTTTTTAACCAGATATCAACCAAATCATGAAGTTTAGAATCCCTGAAACATATTACGTGATACATCACATTTACATGGTTTAAGGCAATTCAAACAGTGGCCTGCAGGTAGTGTGGTCTGCACTCAGGGAAACTAATTCATTCAACATGAAGCCCTAAAACAATCTTCTTTTCTACGTTATGACATTTCTGTGAAGCTGTCCTCCCTCATCCGCTCCCTGCCTGTCTCCAGCGGCCCACGAAAACTCTTTCATCTCTACCCTTGACGGGTTTTGAGCAGGTCTGCTGTTGAAAGATTCCCCAGTCTGCTAAAGACTTTGAGGCTGGTGGTACAGAGACGGTACGGTGAGGCCCAGTGATGAGCTCGTACCATGTCGGAGAGGAGGGTGGTGGAATGTTCATTGAGGCTGATGACTCCCTCCCCTAGCTGGTGTCTCCTCAGACGATTAGAGAAGGTCCTCAGCTCCCTCTCCACCTTCGGCCCTGAATCCACGTTGGTGAGCAGCTTCCAGAACGGCAGCCTACAGCACACACAAAGAGATCATACAAAGCCTGCTGATCTCAGGAACCTGGATGGATTATAGTTTATGATTAACTAAATACACACAGAATTTCAGTCAGTGCTCATTGGACCCAGAGATGCACCACTGTTTGACTTATTGCTATTAGGACAAAAAACACATTCCCCTTCTGACAAGGAAATCCCCGCTAATCTCAATCTAAACGGAACTAACCACAGCGCGTTCATGTTGGGCAGCTCCCTGCTGTGGTGGAAGAGTTGTTGCACGGCTTCCTGGTGAGCAGCTTTCACATTGTGGGCCACACACACAGTGTACTGCAGAGGGAGACGCTCCATACTGGGCAGCGACTGCAGGCAGAACTGCTGTCTGCTGTCCACCCCCAGCTGCAGGGGAATATCGGGAGACACAAACACGGCAACACCTGTGTGGTGGGAAGCAGACAGGAGAGGGCACAGGATGTTAGTTTGTCAGCATTTCATTAATTGTTGTCTCAGAGAACCAGAAGATAAAATGTCTCACTTTAAACAGATATCAAGTGGCCCTTGATGTAAAGCAATCAAAAGCAGTGTAAGCATGAGACGGCCCATTGCAGATTCCTCTTATATGACATAGTGCTCGAGTGATACTGAGACCAGGGCGAGTGTGACGGATGGAGTACGGGGAGGTAGAGTGTCAGCTGATATTGCTCCACTCAGATGTGAGAAAAACACTCTCTAGAATGAGATATAGCAGTATGCGGTTAGATGAGTTTACACCGGGACTGCTGGCAACTTTGAAGTAGGTAGGTTACACTGCACACCAACGAGAGATGGCTGGGATACATATCCAAAGTCACATTGAAGACAAATACTTTTTTTCCCTTCATGGTTTTACTATGAAGCACATCTCTTATTCAAGCTTAGTGTGGAAACCAGCATTTTCTCTCCTACTGTATGTATATGCCGCCTTCCAGAGGTCGCGGGAAATTATAAGATTATGCGAAACAGATAATTGTGTCTGCAGATGTAGCTGCCCTGCAAGGAATGCCCCGTCCCTCTCAGGTTACCCCCACCCCCTATCCTCACCACCTCTCACCCGTCGTGACTCCCACCTTCTCCCTCCCAGCTTTAACCACCTTCCTCTCTTCTCCGCTTGGCACCGCTCTGGGTCTGTCCCATCTCGGGTCAGCAGAACCCAGGCCAGTGCCCCCCTGCCCAGACTCTGACCCCGGGTCTACCTCGCTCTGCACAATCTGCTCAACAATCAGCGCAAAGTAGCCACACTGGGATTTGGTAGCTGATCAATGAACAGATTAGTGTGCAAGACCTGTTTTCAAAGCAGGCAGGCAGTCTGAGAAACCGGGCCTAGAGCTTGGCTCACTTCAGCCACCCTCTCTAGTTTCAATGGGCTTACTGTTTTCCTGCAGGCAGGGGTACCAGGAGCAGGCAGCACACTCACGTACCGGTCCATAATCAGATTAATAGTTTCAGAGATCAGTATTAAAGTGCTGCAAAAAGCCTAGTGAAGATCCTTCAACCACAGGGTACTTATCACGTGTTTGCAACGGATAATGTCAAAGAGATACTGTTAACTCCTCAGCTGCCCCTCACAAGGTATTAGGTCACCTCCCAACTGCTTGTTATAGATTCATAATGGCAGATAAATGTAGATTTTTGCAGAAAACACTGTTATATATTCTAACCGCAGGGGATAAAACTGCTATTGTTAATATAGCAAAGGTGCCGTGAAACTGTGCACGTCAATAATGTACTCATACAGTGGAGTAGAAAATGGGGCAGCGGTGAAAATGTTATAGCTTTATGGAAGGATGGAAGTGGAATGCAGGCAGTGGAAATAGAGGCGACCAGAGTACACCAGACACCGAGCAACCTCGTAGAATGATGTGCAGATACAGCAGGCTGCAAACAGTGTGTTTTACCAAAGTGCACACAGGGTGGAAAGTGAAGTTTAAGTTTGCAAGCATGACTTCTTGAGTCATATTTAATTTTTTATGGGAAATGACAATGCAGCGCCTCAAGGAAATGGGACAATCTGGCTGTACCTTTCATTCCATCTTTGACTAATCATGCAGATTAGAATGGTAAATATACTAAATCCTGTCTCGTGTGTTTATACAGTTCTACTCAAAGCACTTTGCATGTCCCGGGATGCCTTTTCAGTATGGAAGGAACTTCTGATCGAAGAGGACCTTCTAACCTCAAAGTTCAGCGCTCAGAATGACACGGACTAACATCTTTGACCGAACAGTATCTCCAGATCCATGTACCATACAGGAGCAGGAATCAATAAGTGTTATTTAAAGAAAGTGAAGCAGGTTTGAAGCCTTGAGTTACAGCCAAGGTGGGGTGCACAGGAGTTAAAGGGGAAGCGAGAGGAAGGACCCTATTTTTAGAACAAATCCTTAAACACTCCAAGCTTCCCCCGAAATATTTTCCACTAGCTCTCAAAAGCTAAATTATATGCCTGACCGACCGTATCCACTCACCTTCAAAGCAACAGATACGCAAAGGTGAAAATGAATGAAAGTTTACTGTGCAGATTTGAATGATTTGATACACACATGCCTCAATTTTTACAGCTGTTGAACTAACGCACAAATCATGCAACCTTGGGTCGCCTCTTTACACACATATACAATGCATTCTCACACACACACGTCCTTTAATGGGAAACTGTAGACTTCCAAGAAAAAAACAGAGCAGGACTTATAGGACCATAAAGGTTCGGCACTTCCTCTGGCTCAGCCCGAGCTGAACGTTTGGAGGTGGCAGCGGAGGTGACCCCCATGCACCTTCTGATGGGTCAGGAAGGTTTTGATGTGGCGTCTAAGCCCTCGGAGAGTGGCTGGTCCGGGTGCAAAACGCCGCCGCCTGACTCCCTGCTGCTGTTGTCCAGATGGGCTACACTCTTTTACCTGTCATATTTATACTGTTATTTATGACACCTGTGCACATTTACAGACCTGACTGGAGTTATAAAAAGTGCATTCAAACGCAAACTATGTGTGTGCGTGCAAGTCTGTGTGTGTGTGTGTGTTCAGGCATGCATTTCCTTAACAATGGAAACTTAGTTTCTGTGCCCAACCTCAAGACATTGACGGCCACAAAACTGGGATCTTGCCATGGTAGTAAATTTCCAATTCCACTTATAATGAAATAATGAAACACGAATGAGACTTTCTCTGCTTCAATTCCTCAATCAATCAGTTTTATTGCTGCAAGTGTGAGACGCTGTGTTCTGCACAAATGTCCCAAGAAGAAACATGAAAATAGATCTGACAAGAAGATCTCACATTTGAATACTTTGATGTAATATCAAAGTATTTATTTACCATTTACTTCAGTCTCAGCTGGTGAAGTAAGCATACTGCTAAAGCAAATCAGTTCTAGTGTTTTGCAGACAACTTCCTTACTAGATTGTGTTTTATTTTAATTTAAAAAATGCTCGCTGAAACAAGGATTTATTTCAGAGCATTTATAAAAGGTATTCAACAAAGGAAACACAGCTGACCTGAGCAACCACAGACTGTTGATGTAGACGGCTGTGAATGAGCTGATACACACTGTAATTACATCAGTGGACAGACGCTCCATTTAAAAGGGTCAACCTCTGCTGTCTCTTGCTTGTTGTCCTTGATGGAAAGTATAGATTGACTGTGGAAAATCTTGCAGGATGATTTTCATATATGTGATAGGCCTCTCATACGGGAGATGACAGCTTGCTTTTAACAAAGCTTGAATTGGCTAAGTGAGTCATTGTTAAAGTGTTTCACCTCTTGCTCGTCCTGGAAGAGTAAAGGTTTCGGGGCAGCTGCCCAGGGACCTTCTGGGGACCGATTGAGTAACAGATGAGCAGCTTGTCTTCCTTCTACATGCAAGCTGGATTTTTTTCAGCATTTATTTCTGTATACCTGTGGCTCAGTGATCTTGGGTTGACATAAAGACAAAGAAAATGCGAAGGAAATACTCAACCACGAGAAAAAAACCACTGTAGAAGAGAACAAGCCTTCACTTCACCTGTGTTTTCCGTTATTATTTGGTACTAAACCTTAACTAAGCAGCCTCAATTATACTTTAGGAGAAAGTGTTGGTATTTAGTCCACCAGGCCTCAGCTTTGTGCATTCAAACAGCCAGAAGAGAAAATGCTGGGACTTTTGACTCAAGGTCCACTTAACTTTCCCTGCAAAAAATATGAAGTAACGGACAAAATGATTGCTTTTTTAGAACGTTTTGTGCTCAGATTTCTGTGTAACAGTCACATTTTTCTGTAGTTATCTAATCTAATCTAATCTAATCTAATCTTGCTTCACTATTGCTCACCAGTACACACCATAATGGAAATGCGTTTTCACTTCTTGCTCTCATCCTTGTCGTTATAAGATCCAGTTACTTCAAATAAAGCTGATTAAGTATCATTATCTGAAAGAAAAAACAACAACAACATGACGGTTACATAACTTTTATGCCTATCTGTGTGTTGTGGTTGGCCGGGCTCTTCTGAGAGAGACAGAACAACAAACGAGCAGGAGCAGTAAAGTATTGTTTCTTTGGATCCCGTACGGAAAGACTGAGTCAGAGATAGAAATAAAAGAAAAGGGGTGGGAGATGGTGAGTGGAAGGAGAGAGAAAAAAATGATGCTCAAATGATCGATGGAGAGACCAGAAGCATAAAGGGAGAGAGAGAGAACGAGGTAATGTGTATCCACATCCGCATATGGACTTGTGTATGTGCGTGTAGGAGGTGGTCTTAGATCTTAAGGAGATGCTGTCAAGTTTGGCAGGAATTGTACTTGATTCTAATCTCTGATGCTCAGATATGAAGAGACAGTAGATAAATTACTTTTATTGAATCCAGAGCTGTTCAAGTTAGAGTATCACACTCTCATGTATTATAACAGCCGGCTGTGAAAACAAATAGTATCTCTCCAAGCCCTTATTTGTAATGATGAGTTGGGGAAAGTTTGATGAGAGCCAAGGTCTGATGTAAACATACAGTATCTGTTTCTGCATGCGAATGAGGCCCTCTGATTATGAATAATGCTCATATTAAAAGGATATTAAAAGGATTTTAAAAGGATTTTTACACCCTCGTATTTTTTACCTTCAAATATAAAAATATATTTGAGGGTAAAAAAGGCAAAAAAAAACTTATTTACCAATATCCCAAATAGGATGATACAATGAAATATTAGCATTCAAATTAAAACGATAATATCTGTGTGTGTGAGAGAGATACAATAGTAATAAAGTAGCCAGGACTAAAGCTCAAATTGATACTGTAAATATATATATTATATAGTACAATAATAAACAGCAAAAACTTCTCATTTTATTTATTTATTTGGACTTAGTGAATTTAAATTGAAGGGTTTTAAATACACTAGCTGTGATTTAATAATAAAAAAAAAATCTAAAATACATTATTGATGAAATGTTAATCCTTATGTAAATGTTAATATTTGTATATGTATTGTCCCTCCAGTATTGTATTAAGTCAACAGGCAGCACCTGGTTACTGTCATGTGATTTGACCAAGTGCACTAATAATTATCCAAAGTATAGCTACCTATTGTATATCTATACTATTTCTGCTTACATGTGCTCACTGAAACCTTGTGTACATTGGATCATTAAAACTTCCAGTTGAGTAAATGTAGGCATAAGCTTTGGGACAACTTAGTCCCCTCTTATATGTTTCATGCAGGATGTAGCTTCAGTGATATCTAATCTGTTCTAAGTAGCCCAGTTGTTTTTGTATGGATAAAGACAGGTGGGGCTATGATAAGTTCCTCCAGTTGGCAACACTCTCAAATGTCACTCTACCGCACAGCTGCATATATCTTCTCCCCTTGACTCTCCGCTTTACTGTCCTACCTCTTCTTGAACTTGTTACTTTTTGCTCTCTTTGCGTAGTTATGTCTAATCTCAACTATCACAGTACAGTATGCATTCATTCTGTTGCTCTGTGGCTACATGTTTGACTCCGTTTGTCTTGCTCTTTAACCGTCCCCAGGAGTCCCCTTAGCTCAGTCAGTCGTCAGTCACAGCTCCATGTTGCCTAGCACATTCACAATGTGCTCCTATGCCTAACTAGAGTCAGTGGAGACAGGTCACATGCACACACACACACACATATGCACGCACACACGCACACACACACACACACACCTGCAACTCATTTAGAAATGGGGCGGAATTATAATCATAAATGGAAATTGGTTTGGTTAGTATCAAACATGGTCAATCCAGCTTCTCTCTTTTGGTTAAAAGCAGCTGAGATATTATTGACTGAGAAGTGCAAAGTCTCACATACAAGTATACAGTGAATGTTTTAAGTTAAATACACTTTTTGCGAACACATTGAAAGCCCAGCGGCTGTGCTTTCTGTAAAATTTTACTTGAAAACACAACAATGAACAGGAAATATGACTAATAAAAAAACAGTTAGTTTTGGATGTTGTCTTTATTTTACGTGCTGTAAGTGATTTTTAGTTCTGCATTCAATTCGATTTGGTCGGTTTACATGCAAAAATAATAATAATGTTTCACTGCCAAAACTAGGAACAAATCAATAATCTGATTAAGCCTTCGCACGGTTGCATAAACCCAGTTTCCCATAATGACCCTACTTACTATCCACATAATGGAGGATTGTTTTTCTCCACAAAAGCTGCTGTAATTGCTTCCTGTCCCACAACAATAACACAGTTATGACTCTACCACATCGTGCTGTTTGTCGCATATTGCAGCTTAAAATGAGATTCTGCGAGTCGCTTTTGTCAGAGCTGTTGGGAAAAAGAGGATGGCAAGTGCAGCTAAGTCTGGTTTTGCAGTCTAATATTCTGATGTTCACAGATGAAGGTAAGGAGAGGTAATGGTGTTCCAACCAGTCCGATGTGCACAAGAGCACAGATGCGTGTTTTTTTTTTTTGCAGGAGCCTGGAGCTGCTTCTACAGAATTTTATCAACGATGAATAAATTATGATAAAAACTATTTGTCTGATGTGCACAAGCAGCACAAGTAAGTTTTGGTGTCAGTCTTAATGTTACATCAAAGTAGCATTGGGTTGCACAGCCCTCTATCTATTGCGCTTATCCTCCCACCGAGGCTATTAGGGAATCATACCAAGATACCAGGTTTATGTCACTGCAGTTCAATAAAATAGCACTTTTCTACCTGCAACACAAGACCCTGCAAGTCTGATGGTTAAAGACTTTTGTTCGTGGTGATTCAATATTCTTGACACATTAGCTAAATCTGAAGCATGGCAGTCTACATTGTTAGGTATCTTTAATATTTAACTCATGAGCTGCATGCATGAGAGAACAAAGACTGTCCAAATGCATTAAAAAGATTCGTCTGTAATAATTTCCACTGATCCTAGGAATAGGAAAGCAGCCAAGTACAAATTGCAAAATGTCTTCAGTTGTGAAAAACTATTCTCATGAGGCACATTATGTAAATATCAGAGGCAAACAAAAACATCCTTGAACTTTAAAGAGAGATATCATGTTAAAAAAGACTTTAATGATCCAATAGGTATCGCTGTCATTGCTGAGCATCAGTTTCTCCGTTTGGGCTATGTTCAGTGTGTGTCTGTGAGTGGTTACTTGGCAACGTTCAAACAGTTGTTCTAATCAGGATCTCATCTCATCTGTGTTTTTTCTCTCTCTCTCTCTCTCTCTCTCCCTCTCTCTCTCTCTCTGTGCAAAGCTAAACGGAGAAACAAAGGGTTACCGGGTCCTGGTAATTACTGCCGTCCTCTCACAAGGTGGAAAAGGGATTTAAGTCATGTGACTCTCTTGTTAAGCCTGCCACCGTGTTATATAACATCCCAAAATGTGTATGGGTGTATGTGCGCGTGCATGTGTGCATTTCTTTCTGTCAGTATGTGAATGAATGTGTGCGTGAGACTGCTGCAAACAATCAGCGAAGTCATAATAGGTGATTGTTTGTCTCACCGTTTCACCCTGATCTAGACGCTGTTTGGCACTTTGACTTTGTAGCTACACACTGCACACACACGCGTACACACGGTATGCACAGGGTTCCCTAACACACTGACGAAGAAGTACATGTTGCAATGTGCATGTGTGTAAAACTGGATTTGGAAATGTCTGATTGTAAAAAATAGTATTGCATTTATCCAAAATCTTTCAAGAATGAAGAAGCTAAGTAAGCAAACTCCACACAAACACAACTTAAGCGCATAGTCCCTCGAGGTTGCAGTAATGCTATACCCGCTAGACCCAACATTCATGTGCACACACACACGACACGTTCCTCATCAGTCACATTAACCATTCATTCCCCCCCCCCTTTGGTCCCAGGATAAAATCAAACAACTCCAAAATAACCTGATGAGTTATAAGAGTCAGCAGCGCCATCATCCAACTTGTCCCTTTAATAGAAACAAAAGGCAATTACCTCAGTATCCCTAAGAGTTAATTTAAGATGCTGAAGGTGGTTTGCTTCCCTTTGTAGTCTAATCTCTAAATTAATCAACTGAGATGCCACAGACAGTATTGTGTTACATTCTATTAGTGGGATGAACGTCCTGTCCAGTCAGTGGTGTGTGTTTTTTGGGGATGCTGGTTCGGGAGGCGGTCGAACCATTTTTCTCAGCTCAAACACAAACAAACGTGCATGAGGGGGGTGGTAAGAAAACACGACAACATCCACAGGGCTTCCCTCACACCCTGGGAGTCATGCCACACATCGTATACCCACTGATGTGGGGTCCAATTTCCAAAAGCCCTTGTGCTAACCCTGCACCAATGACAAGTGTGGAACAACAGCTGACAATGGGTCATTTGACATATTTGAGAAGGTCTTTCTTACTGTAACGGACCAAGGAGTGAAGAGGAACTTACTGCTAATGAGATAGCCTCCAATAAGAGTAAATATCAGCTGATGCAAATAATTGTTTGCAACAACGACCTCTCACCTGAGGAGCCCAGGAAGTAGCGTTCCAGGGCTGAGCCAAAGCCAGAGGGATTGTCCTTAAGATCGCTCACAATGAAGGGCTGCGTGGTGGCGTTCTGATCGTTGATCGGCCAGGTCTGACCCCGGACACTGGCGCCGCCGTACCAGGACACGTTGGTCATGGAGAAGCAGTCCTGAAAGGATGCACAAAAACAAAAAAAGAGAAAGACACATAAGGACAGGAAAGAGGTAGAGGAAGATTTATAATCCGAGGGAAGACAGCAACTGAACTAAAATTGATGCTGACTGGATAAAATAGATATGTGTGGGATGTTTGAGAATTAATAGAGCTGATAGAAGAAAATGCAAGTTCAATTTGATATAAGATCATTTAAATGATTAAGCAGACTTAATAAATACCACTGCACATTTAATTTATGAGTGGATATAAGGGGAATTTAACTGTAGTATGTTTCCAGTGCCTGATTTCTTGGATAATTCTGGGTAAATGTAATTGACAATTAGTGCAAGTTATAGTTATTTAGTGCAAAAATGAAGGGCACAGGTCGGTATGCGATGGCTGGCACACAAGAGTGTCTCAGAAAGCATCGCACGCAGAAGGGATTGAATGGCAAGAATGTTTTTTAAGAGAAAGCGTGTCCTTCCTCAAAGCGTCTGGGAAACAAATGCGCAAACCGGCACCTCATTTATTTCACAATCAGCAAATCTGGGCTCTGCTAAGGAGCTTCATAACAGGTGCCAACTGGTCACCTGAGAGCCGCCAGGCAGGATTTTGAAAATTTGAAAAAATAAAGGCGTCTTTAGTTTGGAAAGATTTTCTGTGAGCAGTCGCGCCACATGACAGGGAGTTATGGGGAGGAATGTCCCAGTGGGGACAGATTAAACAACCCAATAGTTAAATGCCTTTGATAATTAAGTTGGGGGGAAAGTACAGTGTGTACGTAAAAAACCACAACAACTGTGACGAAGCAGATTTTACACGAATGTCTGCTCAGTGCAGTTCAATCGCGGGTGTAGAGAGGGAAAGGATGAGGGAATCACGCACAGCTTTTATTTTTTTTTCATTTGGTCTGTGACAGCATGTCAGCTCAAACGAGTCGCTCAAGCGTCATCATTGTATTTTGTTTCAAATGATTTAATATGATGTCGTAGTTTCTTCAGAAATTTAATTTAAACAATTCCAACTAAATTAAATTGACCTAACATAATTACAGGCTTATTTTTTGTATTTTTTTGCATGCAAAGTGCAAAACTACTGTTTTTGAACATAACATTGCGCGTAAAATGGCATTTCATTAAGTCTGACTGTGTTTAGTGCGACTGAGAGAAAACCTACCTTCAACTCCACTTGACAGTGCACCGGCGTCCAAGTCATACTGTAACACTCTGTCTCCGTCTCCTCATTCACCTCCAGCGAGATTTTCACCTCGGCCACCGAGTCCCACGTATAGCAGAACTCCGTTTTATTCAGCCAGCACAGGTTCCTCACGAAGGGAACCTCGATGTCGGGGTTCCCCACGTTCCCGACGTCTATCTCCACATAGGTCTTGTCCTCCGTTAGGGTCTGTATGACCAGTGAGTGGGTTCTTCTCTCCCAGATCAGTCCGCTAAAAGTCCCCCTAAGGATCCAGTTCTTGTTGGGCTGGTCCACCACCTGCCAATATATGATCCCGATGGTCATGACAAAGAAGACGGCCACCCCGAGACAGGCAATAGCTCCTTTCCAGGTCTCGTTCATCTCCTTCAATCCTGTGTCCCATGTTACCTCTGGGATGGGGCTAGGGTTCCTATTTCGAGCGTGGGGCATGTTGTCTTTGAGATCAGCAAAGAATCAAACACAAAAAATGCTGTAGAAATCTCTGTGCGTAAAAAAACTCTGCTGCTTCATCATCACGTCATGGTGTTTTCAGTAAGGCTACGGGGTAAACCAGCCTATTCTTTATCTTTACACCGTTTACACGCTTGTTGTTTTGCGCAATTGTGCCTGCAACAGTGACCTGTCATGTGAAGAAAGCTGTGAGAAAAAAAAATCCAAGCGAGTAAATAAAACAGTATGAATGAAGAAGTGACTTACCACATACTGCTGCTGTTTTAAAAGAGTTGCATTTGTAAATTGCATTGGCTGCAGTGAGCTCGTGAGCAGCCCCAAGCCGGGTTTGGCAGCAATGCCTACGAATAGCTCCTAAGACGCTGTCTTGCTTGCCCTGCACTTTCTGACGTAATGCCGGGTTGTTTCTTCAGAGGAAAGGTAGAGAGAGGGAAACGGGGGATCAGGAGGGTTTGGCTGAGTCTTGGAACAGCCCGCCGGGGCGAGGAGGCCACGGACAGCCTGAAAGGGAGGGATCCCCATGCGTGTCTGCAAACTCTCCGTGCGCTCTCCGTGCGTAAAGACTGTGGAGACTTGACATCCGGTGGTTTGGTAGACTGCCAGGGCGTCATTTGCCATGCCCTATCCAAGTTTGATCATGTGGTGTTCCATATTTTAATAGCAAGCGAGCAAAAGAGTGATGTCTGAAACTGCTTTCAAAATGACAAGTACCTTAGCAGTGGGATAGTTATGTCCAGGGAAGTCTTCATGCCATGTGTGTTTAGATTAGTTGGCTACATCTAAGGGCTTATTAATCAAACTGGCCAAGAGGTGAATAATACCATGTCCAGTGTTTAATACATTATTTTTAATAGAATTAAACAAAAAGGAATCAGATAATTTAGTTGGTTATGAAGATTTGGTTTGCATACCGGGGACTTGGTTGCATGTCGAGGTTAAAATGGCTTTGAGACGGTTTGCGTTGACAGTTCTGCTCAGTTTACAAAGTGTGATGAACCACCTGTCATCCACCAAACTTCCATGCTGAAGCTCCAGGGTCAGTGCTCTCTAATCACCATGACCAAGTATCTACTGTATAACCATAACTAAGTATTATATTTGTCATTTTAGATTACTTTTATTCCATTTCACTCTTAAATCGCTTCGTTTGAATCCCGCAAAAAACACTCAAAGAAATGTCTCGTTAAAAAAAAAGCTAAACCTGAAAGAAGAGCTATGAGAATAAATATGCAATGCAGGTGGACTACTGTTTGACAATAAATGTGCAGAGTCAATGTATTGATGTACAATACAAAGCATTGCTCGACTCTTAGCTCTCACAGAATCATATCCTTTGTAATGACTTTCTGAAACCTAAACTGATGCAGATTATGTTGACTCATTTTAATCACTATCCATTTATTTCAACACAGTTCTTCCTGTAACATGGTCATGGCTCTATTGGTATCCAACAACAACTCTATCAGACCCAAAAATAAGACAAGAGGAATCATGGCTTGAACAATGTTGTTATGTTTGTAGGTTAAGGTCTCTTCCGCGGTGCTGTGCACAAGATATCCCAGTGCCGAGTGTCGGCTGACATTCTTTGAAGATCAGTTGCCCCCATCCCCGTTTATGCATGTCAGCCCCCCCCCCATCCCAATCCATCACATAACTCTGGCAGGGGCAGAGACACTGGATAAGGCTGTGGGAACCTGTGAGAGCACTCTACCTAATTGTCCCACTCCGACTGCAGTCGATTTCAAAATCTCTGGAAATCAGTGCGTAATCGTGTGTGACTTTGAGGCGATTTATTGACAAACTGTCAGGATAGAACGAGACAGATGATACTATTTTTACTTTGAATCTTACAGGAAACAAACTGTCCTTCTATCTGCACACCGACTAGTTTGAGAATGTCAGTTAATGTGTCAGTTGTCATATGATAAGAAGGCGCAGAGCACTGAGCATCTTTGAAGACATATTTATACAGCTCTTTGCCTCCAACTGTTTCTGATGTTGCATTTGTGTGCATATACATGTACTGTACTCGATTATTCAGTGTTTGCATGTGTTTGGGTGTGCATGCTTGAATTAGGACCCATGAAATTCAAGGTCATATGGGCTTGTGGCAGCCATGCTCCTGGGTCAGAGGTCAGGCCTATGACATCAACGGAACATCCAGGAGGGAGGGTCTAAATTTACCCGCCATCCAGATTGCTCCCAACTCCATCCCTCGCGGCTATTAATAGACAGAGGACTTCTGCGTGGCATGCACCGACTCTCTCCGGGAGTGTGAACATGGCACATGAAAAAACAGAGGAATCTGACCTGAACTGGCCACTACCTCTGACCACTCATCTAGTGTTGATGGCAAAGGGGCAAGGGTTTAATTAGGTGTGGGGTAGAGCAGCTAATGGTTTATGTTTTAGTGTATCAAGTGGACTGCTTCATTAAGCCAAGAGAAAGTTCAAAATTGCCATGATTGAAAACTTGTAATTAATTAGTTTGGCGTGTTACTATGCTAATATTTGGTAGTACAACACATAGCAGAGGATAAAGTCGCTCTCCTTTTATGTGGGTTGTTATCAGAGCTTCTCTGTGCTTTGTTTACATAGCTAGGCTGGCCGTGCATGCATTTCAGTGCATGTGAGTGTCTCTGGCTAGCTAATGGCTGACGCTCTGCACTGAGCGTTGCTGTGGAAGCGTAGTGCCCACCGTTGTGGCAATTTATCATGTGGTTCTTTTTGGATGTAACTTGTATCGCTGAACTCTGAACATTGTGGCCTGAACCTGGCCATGGTGCCTCGCGCTAATCTAAAAAGGGGGGGGAGGAAGATTAGATAATGTGCAACTGATACAAGCTGTTCAGTTTGTGTGAAGCATATAGTATATGCTCTGTTATATATATAACACCCCCACCTGCTGACACGCTTTGGAATAGGTGTCTTGCACATAAAAACTCAAGTTATCAATATCACATATCTTAGCTGAGCAACTATTTAGGGAAAAGGATTCAAGGCGTCAATATGGTCCATTCCTCATGGAAGGATGAAGTGGATTCACAGGGTAACACTTTAACAGCCCCTTTACATGCAAAACTATTCACTTCAACTGACAAACTTTTCCATCTTCACGTCTGGATCTTCAATTTACTGTTTCCCTTTTTTTTTTTTTCTTGGATATTCAATACCGACAACTTCTCCTCCGGCAGCCTGAAAGTCGGAGGGAGAAAGTTTCCATGTGGCCCCGGCACCCGCTCTTGGCGGGACAATCCCGCTGTAGACCGAACTGTTTCCATCTATCCACCTCTGCTGTTAGAGCACTCCCTTCTCCTCTCTCACTTTCTCTCTTTTTATACTGTGACACAAACAGCCACTTTCCACTGCCCCAGACCTGAACCTTCATTCCAGTTCTCTCTCTCTCTCTCTCTCTCTCTCTCTCTCTCTCTCTCTCTCTCT